ATTCCACAGCAGAGGAAAGATCCCAAAAAGCATAGTGTCAGGGTTCCAAGTAATACATCCATAACAAAGCTCCAAGGCAAGTCGGTTCCTCAAAAAAATTGGTTTATTGGACATACCATATTGGCATAAGCTGGTGAAAACCGAGACTGCATTCCTGCGGTTTTCACCAAATTAAAAGTAAAAGTTACCTTTTCCCAAACAATCAGTCACATGGTCCAATCAAGATCCCATCTGGTTATCAGGTAACATCGCTCTTCCTCTCTCCAGCCACCCGTGGGAATATCCTTGGTTCCCAGGAGAAAGTACTTTGTTTTGACTACAAACCCCCACTATCTCTAGGCCCCCCTCCCTATCCCTCAGTAACAGTGACAACACTGAAGCCTCAAAATGGCCTCGGTCAGGTGAGCTTCAGGGTTGATAGGCTCTTAATTGAAGAGGACTTCCTGCAAAGAAAAAAATTGCAGAGATGTTACTCAAGATTCACTCTAGCCTCCCGGTCCACCTCCTGGGGGGTCCTTAGGCTTCTGGGGGTAATCATTGTGGAACTGCTTAACGATCTGTCTGCTTTTACATCCTAGCTTTTGACCCAGGTTTCCTCAGAGAGTGGGTACCCCTTCCATTGCGCTAGATACTGCAAGCGGCCCCTACGTAATCTAGAATCTAAGATTTCCTTTACCTCATAATGTGTTTCCCATTGCACCACTATTGGTTTTGGGGCTTCCTGATCTACCATTCTGATCTGGGAGCCTACTGCCAGCTTTAACAAGGTGCTATGAAAAACCAGGTGCACTTTTCCTAACAAGTGAGGGATTCTAAGCTGTATTGTAACAGAGTTGATGACTTTCACTATGGGGACAGGTCCTAGCTTTTTACAAAGTAGCTTTAATTTCAGGTACTTCGTAGCAAGATAAACCTTCCTCCCCCCACTTGAAATGGCACTTGGGGGCTGCAGTGTTTATCAACTTGCATTTTATGGATTTTTGCTGCCTCTTGAAACACCCATTTGGTATTTTCCCACACTTCCTTCAGCGACTCCATCCATTCATTTAGTAACATGGATGAGGGAGGCTCCCTGGGGAGTTCAGGCATGGGGACGAATTCCATGCCACTGGTGACCTGAGAAAGGGTCAGCCAAGTACTGCCGTGCACCATATTATTGTATTCCACCTCAGTGAACGGCAGTAACTTTTTCCAGTTAGATTGCTGGTAGTTGACATAGCACCTCAAGTATTGCTCCATCATGGCATTTATACGTTCTGTGGTCCCATTGGTACGTGGATGAAAGGCTGAGCTAGGGCTCAGTGAAGACCCAATGTACTGAATGAATTCCCTCCAGAACATAGCAGTGAATTGTACCCCTCCTATCAGAGATTATTCTGCAGGGGATACCATGCAGCCTATAAATCTGCCTTATGAATAGCTTGGCCAGGTTTTTTTGTTGACAGGAGCCCTGGGCAAGCTATAAAATGGGTTTGTTTTGAGAATAAATCAATTACCGTCCAAATAACCGTATTCCTGCCACTCTCAGGGAGTTCAACAATAAAGTCCATGGCAATCTTTTCCCGGGGTCTGGATGGATTGCTGAATGGATTGAATGGACTGAAATAACCTGGGAGTCTTCCCTGGCCTCTTCCTCATGGTGGCACAAATGGCACAGCTTTTAACATAGTCCTCAATGTCCTTTTTCATCTTTGACACCAAAACTGCCTTTTGCCCAGATGTAGGGTTTTCAAGTAGCCAAAATGGTCTGTCTGCTTAGAATCGTGACTTTATTGGAGCACTTGGAGTTGCAGACTATCGGGCACATAAAATTTGGAGCCTTTCCAAACTATCTGTCTCAGGGTCAGGGTCTCTTGGTTATTTTTGTACCAGGGATTGGCTGGCAGTTCTAAGTTTTTTGGTCATTCCTCCCCCGTCTGCAATTTCTTGTTGTCTAGCCTGTCCTCTGATCACGGCTTGTGAGGCAGGTTGAGAGGGGAGAATCATGGCATGGACTATCTCTTCACATTTACTGTTGTACTGCAGTTTGTGAGATAGGGCATCTGCCAGGAGGCTTTTCCCCCCAGGGATGTACTTTAGCTCAAACTTGAACTGTTTGAAATACTGTGCCCAGCAAACTTGCTTTGGAGAGAGTTTTCATGGTGTTTTGAGTGCCTCTAGGTTCTTGTGATCAGTCCACACTTCAAATGGCCCATTGCTGCCTTCAAGATAGTATCTCCAGATCAGTAGATCTCACCTGACCACATAGGCTTCCTTCTCCCACCCACCTCCTATCAGTGTCTGTCAGTTTTTTGGAGATGTATGTGCAAGTTTGCAAGTTGCTGTTTGTGTTCCTCTGGAGGAGAACTGCTGCGATGCCCTGGACTATGAAGGGTTGTCCTGGGTGCTCTTTGGCTCTTTGGTTAACATCCTTTTTAGTGCTTCAAATACCCACTGACATTTTAGGGCTTGGCTTAGCCGTGGTTGCTGAGGCTCCCCTCCAGTCTTTTGCAGTTCAGGGATTGGCAGGGCAATCTCAGCGAAAGAGGGGATGAACTGTTGGCAGAAGTTCGCTAATCCCAGAAAGCTCTGCAGCTGTTTTCGCATATGTAGGGGTTGCCAGCCTAGAACTGCTTTAACTTTAGCCAGATCCATTTCTATGCCCTCATTTGACACTCGGTTGCCCAGGTAGTGTAGGCTGGTGTTGTGGTATTCACACTTTGATAAGTTCATGTATAGTTTAGCCACAAGGAACTTTTTTCAATACTTGACATAGTAGCTTAACATGTTCTTCGAGGGTCTCAGTGAAGATAAAAATGTTATCTAAGTACAGAAGGACCCCTTTATACAGGGGTAGCACCTCATTTATCAGTTGCATAAAGACTGCAGGGGCTCCTTGTAAGCCAAAGGGCATTACTTTGAATTGGAAACTCCCTAAGGGCCAATTGAAAGCAGTTTTCCTCTTGTCTTCTCCCTTGATTCGCACTCGGTAGTATGCCTCTCATAGGTCCAAATTGGTGAACACTTTTCCCTTGGCCAAGTGGGCCAACATGTCTTTCATGAGGAGGAGTGGGTACATGTTTTCCATGCATACAGCGTTAATTCCCCTAAAATTCACGCAGAGTTTCAACAACCCATCTTTTTTCTCTTTGAAGAGGATGGGGGCAGTCATTTTGGACTTAGCCAGTTGGATAAATCCACAGACTAGGCTGGTGTCAATGTACTCCTTCAGTTCTCTTATCTCTTTGGGTGCCACGGAGTATATTTTTGGCTTGGGCAGTTTTCTATGGCGCAGTCTGTGGAGCGGTGGGGGAATAGCATATTGCAATCCTCACTGAACACCCGGCTAAATCGTGGGATTCTCTGGGGATCTGTGGGGGTGCCCGGGAGCGGCTGTGAGGCAGCAGCGGCTTTTTCGCTTCACTTAGTGCAGTTCATTTGTTGGACAGTTCTTTCTCCAGCAGTGTTAGGAGGGGGCCTATTCCCAGTTTCAACTTCCTGTAGCCACCTTCCCACAAAATGGTGGGGCCTCACTTGTCCAGCCATGCCAAGCCCAGAATCACTGCTTCTGTCATTTTTGGTACCACTACAAATCAGATGAGCTCCCAGTGCCGGTCCATCTCTAATCTTACAGGTTCAGTGAGGAGCGTGGCAAGGATTCCTCTTATCAGCGACCCATTGGCCTGTTTGAAGCATATGGGATTGGCTAGGGGCCTCATCCTAATTCCCAGCTTTCGGACTGTGGGCAGACTGATCAGACAATGGGTGCAGCCTGTGTCTACTTCCCCCTGGACCCCAGTTTTTGGTACCATTAACCTCGACTGAATTGCGAATGAACAGGTGGTCTCCCTTACCATTGGGTCGTCTTTGTCACTGTCATAGGATGTCAGCAGTGGAGTTTCAGCTTGTCAGGCGACAGCGCTCCTTCTTTCTCCAGCCACCTGTGGGAATGTCCTTGGTTCCCAAGAGAAAGAATTTTGTTTTGATTATAAATCCCCACTGTCTCTATTCCCCCCGCCCTGTCCCTCAGCTCCAGAGTGGCAACACTGAAGCCTCAAAATGGCCTCGGTCAGTCAGCTTCAGGGTTGACACATAGATTCTGAGACCCATCCACTTGACTTCATTGGGAACCTTCAGCAGCATCTTCTCTCAGGAAGAATGCATTAAATGGGGAGTGCCCATTCACTACTTCACAATCTTGTGTATAAACAATGCTGCTTTGACTACATAGCAATTCAATCTCACTTTTAAAATTTAAAATTATTTAAAATTTCAATATATATTAATTTTGCCTGGCAAACATTCAAGAAGAAATAGATGCTTCTTAGAAATATATTGTTTGTGGCTTAGCAACTTGCAACTTATTGTCCTATGAAATACTACTTAATACATGATTTTTAAAATAAAGTGGTTCTTCATAGAAAAAAAAAAATCAACACTAGCCAAAATGATGCACAAATAGAATATTAGAATAAATTGAAATGACTACAAAAATAGCACTAAAACATAAACCCGTGTTCATTGGGGTATCTTTTAAAAGTTACAATTTTTTTTACTTCTTTTGTATGTCACTGACATTTTTATTCATAGGCAGTATCTGTACAAATATTTTAGTATAAAAACAAGTTTAATAGCAAACATAGTAAATATGTTATATGATAGGTATTAATTGTTCATACTTATCTAATAAGTACCACTGAATTTAACATTTGTAGGATTTGACATTGCACTGAAACTGGCCTTTTTGATTAAACTTTTTGCTCCTATTTCAGTGATGGCTAACGTTTTTGGCACTGGGTGCCCAAAGCGTGCATGCGTGCGCAAACCCCCAAAATGCAATGTGAGTGCATCCCCGCACATGCACCCCACCCCCATGCATGCGTGCGCACCCCCATGCATGTGCACGCACCTGCGCATGCATCCTGTCCCCATGCATGCAAAGCAGAGACCCAAAGACCAGCTGGCCGGTGGGAAGCACGCACGCATGCACGGCGGAGTTGACCTAGGCTTGTGTGCAACTAGAGAAAGTTGTATCTTCAAGGAGTGGAACAGATCATTTAGTAATCAATCAATTAATCTTTATTACAGTCACAGACCAGTATTAGCATTTAGTAATGACATTTTTTTAAGGAGCAAGTAAAATATTCCACAGCAATGGAAATTGATAAAATACCATATTCACACAGGATTGTTTCTGACTTACCCTGTTAGGTGTAAGAATATTTCTGTATCTTACTGGAATTCCTACTGGATGCTGCCTTCTGATGTTTGTGGAAGGAACTGCTTTTGGGAAACTGCCCATAGGTAGGCTTTGCCACAATCTTAATTGTTCAGTTTTAGACATGATAATAAGTATTGCAAAAGGTAGAAAAATGCTGATGCAATTACCCAACACTTTAGGGTTTTTTCTGTCACATTACACTTTAATAGATATAGAAGTCATTTTGATTTGATTTATTTTTAAAAGGTTACTATTTTCAAATTATGCATTTCTTTAAATAATATGTACTTTAAAATATTTATACTAACTCGTTGTAGTAATTATAATCTAATCAGCCTAAGAAGGTGTCCCAAATTTGGGTGCAGGAGTGTTTTATTAAGATCATGTTATAAAGCAATAAAGTCTGCAATATATGTTGTAATTATGTGACTTCTTAATCCTTTAACTGAAATTTTGCTGCTGATGGCTTTAGTCAAGAATTAAGATAGTGAAATATAGTTTTGAGGGGAAAAAAGAATCCTTTGTTTTCTTCCTATTGGTAGGAAATCAACAAAAAGAGGTGTGCAATAGTGGCAAATATCTATAGCTCAGGTGTAGGATGAGGATAAAGGTTCTTTCTCCATGCTTATGTGGGTTGGTCTCCGAATTACCAGGCTAGGTTTAACTAAGGATCTGCCTCAGCTACCTTCCCAAGAAAGTAAAATTCTTGAAACAATTTACATTTCAAAAGGAACTTTTACTGAGAGATAGTGATTGCAGAGAAGTCAGGCAGAGTCTGAAATTCAGGTGCAAAGCTTTAGGCTAACTTTTCCCTTTCAACACCCACCTTGCTCTTTGATACCCTGTGTCCATCATAATATGTCACAAAGGTGTTTTGGAAATCACTGATGCTGGATGGTTAAAAGAGTTCATCTTTGGGGCACTGTGACCTTGGAAACCCAGACCAGTTCAGAAGGAGTCACTGCAGATAGTGTGAACTCCTCCTCCTCTTAAGCTCCCAAGCAGTTACAGCAACAACAAAATGAAAGCATGCCAACTATGTGGCCCACGATTCCTCCCCCCCCCCCCCCCGTCTCTTCCAGAGTGGCAGCTTTCTGATAGGGACCTGACAGTAACATCTTCAGCAGAGTTTAGGGGATGTCGGTGAGCACAAACTTTTACCCTCAGAAAGAGGTATAAATGAATAGACAAATGTTAGCCCTGGCAGAACTGGACAGCCCTTTTTTCTCTTTTCCCTGTGATATATTACATCTGTATCTAAATTTCTACTCCTTCACATTGAGCTTTTAGATTGAAATGACAAAAAAAAAACCGTGGGCATGGACAATTTCTGGGCTGGTGATGAAAACAAATAGAATTTTGACTAATAAAGTGACATTTGAATTCTCTTCCCTCGGTTTTGAAATAAAAAAAAGAAGCATACAGCATATTATGTAGTTTGACTTTGAAGCTGGAATTCTGTACATGCTTACATATAAACAAAAGTTTTTTAAAAGCAAATGAGGTATACCTATTGATAAGTATACAAGTATTTAGCTGTGAATGTAATGATTGTGTTTGAAGCAAAATTAGTAGACAAAATTCAGAACTATTTTTCAGTAGAATGGCAGCTATTTTTAGTTGGTGGAATAATAAAGGTTTGTAAGTTTCAGAAATATTGTAGTGGCATTAAAATTACTCCGGCTTATTGTGATGTTTCCTTATTTTAGGGATATTATTGTTTTAGCACTCATTTATAGATCACTTTGGACATCATATTAACTAACCTATGATTTACACAATATGACTGCTGGTTAATTATATAACATTGGGTGGTTAATAGTGGAACTATGGTTTAGTTGTGTCATACATCCTTTATTTTCTTCCTTGCTCTAATACAGTCATGAGAATAGATCTGGGCAACTGACAATATTTAAAACAGCATAAAAATCAACATGTTTGGCTGAAAACAAATTCACTAATAACAAACCAGCACTATCATTGCACAGATTAAACCACTCTCTGATTCTCATGTTCAGTGGCAGAACCCGGTATGTAAATGTGGCAAAAGGATAACAGGATCGGGGCCAATGAAAATGATATTCCAAAATGTGGACACAACAGAAAGGGTTCTTTTCCTGGCCCCCACCAAATCCAGAAGTTATAGCTGGTAGATAATATAATGGCAGTTAAGTGCACTTCTTAAAAATTAAACCCAGAGATCCATCTCCTTTTGGATCTAATGAGATGGGTCAATCCCTCATGAGAGGCAGTCTCTCATATACCAAGATTAAGCCATGAAGCTTACAACCAGCACCAGAAACATACTGGCAGCCAATGCAGCTCACAGAGCAAAGGTGTAATATATACTGATTAAGGAGTGCACATAACTGCTGGGATATTATCTACCAACTATAACTTCTGGATTCTGTTCAAGGGTAGCTTCATGTAAAATACATTCCATTTAAGATGTGAAAGGCATGAATTGCTTTGAGAAGGGCCTTGCTGTCTAAGAAAGAGTCCAATTGGCAGAAACACAAAATTGTGGAAAGCCATCCCCATCCCAGCTGCTGCCTTTTCATTGAACAGGAGTTTGGAGTCCAGATTTTGCAGTTTTTCTGCTTGGGGTAGTGTGGCCCCCCAAACAGAAGATGAAAGATGGAAAATCCTTGGAAGAAAGTGTCTGTAATATCCAAAGCCACTCAGTGTTGCTAGGGTTGATTTAAAGCCAGTTCTTCCTCATCCAATTCCAATCCCCACAACCTCGAGACGGTGCTTCCACTAGCAAACAGGACCGCCTGGATGGTCCCCAGCAAGCTCATCTGCCTTCTCTTCTCTTCCCTTCCTCTCTGCTCTGCTCTCTCACCGGCTCTCCTCTTCACTCTCTACCGGTCATTTCACTGCCCTCAGTCAGCTGGCCTCTGCCCCACAGCTGTTTTTCCTCCCTGTTCTGCAACTGGTCCTACTTGCTCACTAGCTCGGCTCTTTATTCTATACCAGTTGGCTTGCTGCCTCCTGTCAGCGATGGAATTCATTGCTGCCACACAGTTGAAGAATGTGGGAGGGAGTGATGTAAATTGAGTAGCTCTTAATAGACAAAATATATTATTTTGATAGTTCAAGGTTATAGAGTGTGGCGCAGAAAAGAATAAAACTTACTGTGGGATTGGTGCACATGAGGGAAAAAAGGTGGGGGTTGTAGCTTGGGACTGTGTGTCTTAGTCCGGAACTCTAACAACTTCCAGCTCTCCCAGAGGGAGCTGTCGGGGTGGTGGTTAAGCCCCCAGGATTTGTTTCAACTATGAATCAATCCGAATACTCAGCCAGCATGGGAGGTGAGACAGAAGGGCATTGGGGGGACATTGCTGGAAGATTAATTGAATTACTGCAAAGGAGGCATATTGGAGGTGTGAAGCTCCAATTATATCGGAAGGCCAACAGGATCAGATTTCAAGGGAGAGACGAGAAATGCAACCTAATACAGGTATGTTGCAATCTTCTTCTTCCCCACACCCAGAAGGAAATTTACCCCCTGCAGAAAGTATCCCTACAGGGTGGGGATTTTATCCTGGTCAAGGGTGGATCCAGTACCAGTGGATGCCAGCGCCAGCAACGCCCTGGCCCCAGAGAGACCAGATGCAGTTCAGGGCCAATTTTGATGGATGCCCTGAACAATTTTCTTATTTCCTCACACAAATCTGGTCTCACATAGACCAATTTGAAGACTAATATGCAACCAAACATGATCTAGTTACTGCAATAACAGATGGGATGAATGAGGGGGAAGCTTCTGACTGGCTGGTGCAATTGCACTACGAACAGGCCCCAAAACTACAGGATATTAATGTGTTTCTTCAATTGCTGAGACTCAAATTTGAGAATCGAAACAGAGTGGCTGAAAATGAGGACAAACTAATGGAAATGAAACAGGGCAAACGACCCTTATCAGACTTTATATGGGACTTTAAAAGGGTCACAAGCCACCTCATAGATTGGCCAGAAAAATTAATCTTGCACTATTTAAAAAAAGCCATTGACCCAAAAGTAAAGAAGACCTGCAACATTAGGGGAACACCAAAGACCCTGCAAGGGTGGTATGCGGCCACCCTCAATTTAGACCACAACATCAACCAGCAAAAAAACACCCCTACCTGAAGGTTCTCCTAGGAGAAATGTGGCCAGGCGACAGCGGACCAGACCTCCTGAAACTGCTCCCACCCAAACAAACAGAATGATAAAGTGTTATCATCGTGGCCAGGGTGGCCATAGAGCAGCCGACTGTCTGGCCCCCGTACCTGTTCCACAAGCTCCACAACAAAGGTCTGATACAGCCACCAGGGTCCAGAAGAGTCAAGGAAAGCCCCCCGACACTACCTACTTTGCTATACACACCATAGAGGGCCCTCTCCATGCAGAAGAAAGCAGCAAACTTCCAGACCAACACAGCCTCCCTGGACAAACCCACTGATGAAGACGATCCTATGGTGAGTGCATCCATCTACCCCAGCCACCCAAAGACAGAGTTAATCAAACTGCAGATGGGTCCTTACCATGAACTCATATGTTTTATAGTAGCTCCAAGAATGTCAGAATCTGTCATATTGGGACTTGCTTGGCTAGATAAATGGGCCCCTACCATCAAGTGGGAGGATGGATTCCAGAAAATCATCATTGGAGTAGGCCTACTGCCCCCCCTTCCTCCCACTAAGAAACCACCATCCAACCTGGGTCCAAAAACTGAAGCAGCAACCACCATCTTGGACCCTCTTCCAGGTACTCCCCAAGTGCCCAGACAATATAGAGACTTGGCTGAGGCATTCAGTGAAGAGGAATGTAATATTTTACCTCCCTATCGACCCACGGATTGTGCCATAGAATTAGAACCCAGAGCAAAACTGCCAAAACCAAAGATGTATTACATGACACCAGCTGAAATGACTAAATTAAGGAAATACATAGATAGCAATTTGGAAAGAGGTTTCATTGAACCTGCCAAATCTAAATTGGCTGCTCCAGTGCTGTTCAAGGAAAAGAAAGATGGCAGGGTGAGAGTATGTGTTGATTTTAGGGGCATGAACGTCGTGTGCGTGAAAACATGTAACTT